ATTTCAATTCTAGGTGCAGCTGGGTAATTCACCTGTGTTCTCTGAAATGTGGGATGTGTTTGGATAGAGTAGAAATGCCAGGGACTTCTGAAGGGCTTCCCAGCCAGGGACAAGGATGGCACTGGGAATCTGTGCTGAAATCTACTCTTACCTTGGGCCAGGCTGCTCATGTCAGCCATGCTCCTGGTCAAAGCCAGGCTTTCTTCGTCATCTCTCTTCTCTAATTTTTTTTCTATTAGTAGTGTAAAAGAAATTTATTGAGAGAGAATTGATTAGTGTGATATTCCACTAATAGAGGAAGAAATAAAATCCTTAATAATAAGGGAGAAAGTCACACGAATCAAACAACCGAGTGAAGATGGGGCATACCATACGTCACCTGGCCCACAGAGCAGGGCACCCGAACCACTATTATTCGCACAGCTTCCTCCTCCAGTAGCCCTTCCCTGTGTCCCTGAGGACATGCACACTGACTCTGAGTCTGCACTGGTGGCCTCCACACTGATCTCTATGTGCTTGCGCATTGAGCTGTGCTAGCCTGTCAAAGCAAGGGTACCATCAGGCACTCCTAGACTTGGACATCTGGAATTAAAGGCATGTGCCAGCACCACTCGGATAAGCCACAAGCCCGGCATAGGCTGGCTTTTCTTCAAGGGGTTGGAGGTCACTTCTGCCCTCCTCAACATTTTTGTTTTTGAAGAGAGGGGAGACAGGGTTTCTATGTACCTTTGGAGCCTGTTCTAGGACTTGCTCTGTACACCAGGCTGGCCTTGAACTCACAGAGATCCTTCTGCCTCTGCATCCTGAGTGCTGGGATTAAAGGCATGTGCCAGCACCACCCGACTCCAGTGCCCAATTCTTGGGCACTCAGCACCCACAGGTAAATGTATGCAGGTAGAAAACCCATCACCTGCACATGTGAGTCTAAAATAAGAATGAAAAGGACGAATGCACAACTTAGTGCTAGAGCACTTGCCTGGCTTAGTAACTTTCTCCTTAACTGTGGCAATATGCCTGAGAGACACAACACAAAATTGATTTTGGTTTGGTTTGAGGGTACAATCTACTGTGGTAAAGCTATGGTGGCGGGAGGAGACAGCTGGTCACACTGTGTCAGAGATGAACCAGGCTTCACTTGCTTTTTTTTCTCACTGTTTTTCAAGACAAATTTTATCTGTGTAGCTGTGGCTGTCCTGAAATTCATTATGTAGAAGAGGTTGGCCTCGAACTCACAGAGATCCCCTTGTCTCTGCCTCCAGAATGCTGGGATTAAAGGCATGTGCCACCACTGCCCAGCTGCTTTCTCTTTTTTAGTGAACACCACCTGTCAGGCAGCTGTGTGTGAAGAGGCAGCCAGGGTCTGAAAACTCTTGAGAGAACTGGCCATCAATGGAATCATTCCCTATGTAGGGTCCTCCCTAAGTCCCCTTTGGCTATCTCAAGGAAAGGTGCCTGGAATTGATCTACCCTCAAGGCAAAGCACCTTTAGCATTCAGCCTCTCATTTGTGCTGTCCTTCTACCTCCATTGTTCTGTCAAGGCAGAGTTGGTATAGTACAGAGTGGGGTACAATGCTCTCAACCCTGCCATCAAGAAAGTGGGTACAGAGAGAGCTTCAAGGTCTTGTGTGGTGCCTGTGTGTATGGGAGACATATTTTGCACTTATACCATGAAACAACCAGAGACCTGGATTAGGTGCTTGGGCAGGACCTAATTGAACTGGGCTGCAACTAAGCCCTGCCAAGGTTCTGAGGTAACTATGCTTCAGAACTCCACATGGTCAAATCCCTCTTATCTGGTCCCTGGCAGTCAGTCCAGCCAGCCCAGTGCAGGGAGTGTGACAAAGCCTGATCAGAGACAATTAAGAGTGCAATGTTGCTGGGTGTAGTGGCATACACCTCTAACCCCAGCACAGGGAAGTAGATACTGGCTGATCTGAGTTTGAGGGTAGCCTATGTAGCCAGAACTACATAGTAAGGCACTGTGTTGTGACGTAATCTCTTTGTACACAGGGGAGATGTGTCACACTGGTTGGTTTAATAAAAGAGCTGAATGGCCAATAGCCAGGCATGAACTCCAGGCACAGAGGATGCTGGGAAGAAGGCCGGAGTTGCAGGGAGACACAGAGGAAGTATGACATGTAGATGAGGTAGCAAGCCATGAGCCACGGGGCAGCACATAAATGAATAGAAATGGGTTAATTTAAGTTATAGTAGCTAGTTAGAAACAAGCCTAAGGTATCAACTGAGCTTTTTTTTTTTTTTTTTTTTTTTTTTTTGAGACAGGGTTTCTCTGTACAGGTTTGGAGCCTGTTTGTCTTGGAACTCACTCTTTAGTTCAGGCTGGCCTTGAACTCACAGAGATCCACCTGCCTCTGCTGGGATTAAAGGCATGCACCACCACCGAGTATCTTGAGCTTTCATAATAAGAAATCTCTGTGGTTATTTGGGAGCTGGCTTGTGGGGCAGAGAAAGACGATACAACTCTGTCTCAAAACAAGGGGATGGGGGCTTTGTAGAATACCCAGGCAGTGTAGAGGATGAGTAGAGATAGAGTGGGCACAGAGATGCCCTCTAAGAAGTCTGAATTCTGGAGTCTCTGGTTCTCCCGGGCTACCCGGCTCTTAAAGGTTAACAATCAACTTGACTAGAAACCTCTGAGTAGGCCAAGTGTTGGTGGCACACGCCTTTAATCCCAGCACTCGAGAGGCAGAAGCAGGTGGATCTCTGTGAGTTTGAGGCCAGCCTGGTCTCCAGAGTGAGTGCCAGGATAGGCTCCAAAGCCACACAGAGAAACCCTGTCTCGAAAAACAAAACAAAACAAACAAACAAAAAGAAACCTATGAGTATGCTTGTGAAGGAGCAGTTTCTAGATTTGCCTAAGTGAGGTTGGTGGGCAGCCCCATCCTATGGATTGGGTCCCAGAGTGAACAAAAGCAGAAAGCAAGCTGAGGACCAGTGTGCATCTGCTTCTTGACTGGGCGCGATGGCCCACTGCTCAAGCTTCTGCTGCTGAGTTCCCTCCGTGAGGGCCTGGACCCTGAAAGTGTGAGTCAGACAAACCCTTCCTTCCTCAGACTGCTTTGTCAGCAACAAGACAAGTAACCAATAAAATGGCTAAAGGCAACTAGAGCTACCCAGCTGCTGACTATAGGGACAGCACCTGTCCCCAGCATCATCACAAGGCCCCGAATCACAGAAAGATTGGCAAATGGAAGGTCAGAGTGTGTGATGTAAGGACTGTTTGCCATCACTAGATCTAAGAATGAAGGGGCCAAGAGTCAAGGCATGTAGTGTCCTCAGACACTGGAAGTTAACCAACTGTGCCCTAGAGCCCCAGGAAGAAGTGCTCCCTGCCCACACCTTCATTTAGCTCGAGACTGTGACTTTAAACCTGCACAATTATGAGATACTGAATGGCTAGACTGGGCCACTATGGTAATGATGTCACTGTAGCAACAGGAAATTGACTCTGGTGGCAGGGAACTGTTGTGGAATATTTAAGATGTGTTACATTCATTTATGCTATGGAATATTTGTCTAATGATGCAAAGATGTGTTGCATTCTTTTATGTTGCATTTAACTCTGATAGAAAAAGGAGAAGTTAAAAAGCCCAGAGGCTAAAATCTTTAAAAAAAAGAAAAAGAAAAGAAAAGAAAGTTCATGTGGAATGGAGAGATGGCTCAGAGGTTAAGAGCACTGACTGCTCTTTCAGAGGTCCTGAGTTCAATTCCCAGCAACCACATGGTGACTCGCAACCATCCGTTATGAGATCTGGTGGCCTCTTCTGGTGTGCAGATATACATGGAAGCAGAATGTTGTATACAGAATAAATAAAATCTTTAAAAAGAGAAAAGAAAAAGCCCAGAGGCAAAACATAGTTAAGAGAAACAGGATAACTTAAGTTAGAAGAGCTGGCTAAAAACAAGCCACGCTAAGCCACCTCCCAGTTTGCACACACCTTTAGTCCCAGCACTTGGGAGGCAGAGGCAGCTGGATCTCAGTGAGTTCCAGACCAGCCTGTTCTATAAGAGCTAATTCCAGAACACGCTCCAAAGCTACACAGGGAAACCCTGGCTTGAAATACAAAAACAAAACAAAGCCAAGCTAGGGCCAGGCATTCATTAACTAAAAATAAGTCTCCCTCTATTTATTTGGGATCTAGGTGGTGGGCCCCCAAGGAGAAAAAAACAAAACCAACCTGCAGAGAACAATGGGTCTGTGTAGGAGGAAGGAGTACCAGGCACCCTGCCATTGTGGCCCAGGCCACCAGTGTGGTTCTGGCCATCCTCCCTCCCAGGTCCCCAGATGCAGAGGTCTAAGGTGCTAATAAAGTATTGCTAACAGCTGCCAGCACATGGAGCAGGCACTGTAGTACCCAGAATCTTTGAGGTCATCCTTGTCAATCAACCTGCTTGAAAGATCAAGAAACAGAGCTCTAAGACTGTCTGTCATGGTAACATCACTAGTCACAGCAGCCTGGCAGAGGGCCACACAGAGTACAGAGCATCATTCTGGCTGTTAGGCATGACAGGTAATATGTCCCAGTTGCAAGATCCATGCCTTAGGAACATATGGCTCCCTTCCTCTTAAATCTGAAAATGTTCACTGAGAAGCTGAATCTGTAGTTTCTGGTGTTTATCCCACAGGGCCAAAGCTCCCATCATTGCTGCCTACCCCACCAGCTTGCTGTGGGGGCCACAGAAAGTCTGGTGCTGTCCCTGTCCTCCATACTGGGTATTCCCATAGTTCCCCATGGAAATAGCCAGTAACCAGAACATCCTAGGAGGCCAAGGGATAGCAAAGGATCCACAGAGCTCCTCCTGGACCCACCTGAGCCCAGATTGTCCTAACCACCTCTTCCTAGACCCTAACAAGTGGCCCCAGGAGATAACAGATGAGACTTTACTCTGGTGAATTCCTGAGACACTATATTCTAGACACACAGGCCATGTGTAGTTAGGATACCCTGTCTATTCCCTATTACAAACCATTCCAAAGTGTGGTAGGCACTGATTTTATTAATAAGTCAAATTGATAGGAAAGACTGAGGACACTCGGGACATTTAGTCACAGTGCTCTGTCCCAGAGGGTTAAGGCACAAGTGATGCTTAATGAAAATGCATAGTTTGTGTACCTACATGCACGCGTCCTGGCCCCTCACATAACATCCGTGGAGCCATCAACAGCAGTGGAGATGACCAAGGCTGTCACCAAGAGAGTGGGCTGGTAGCTCTGGGAAAGCATATGCTACATCACCCTACAGACAGACATTCCAACAGCAAAGCCAGCCTTTTCTTTCTCTCTACTGCCAAGAACTCACTGGGCAGGTAAACTGCTCTCACTTGGAGAAATGTGAGTGAGGCTTTGCATTCCTGTGGCTTTCCACTGTGAAGACAAAGCTAAGTTCTTCGTCTCTGGGACCCCCTGAGAATTCCCAGGAAGTACTGAGAGCTGTGTATGCACCACGGAGGGGCCTGAGAGCTTGGAAAGCTCCCCTCCCTGGACCAGCTCCTCTTGAGAGCAGTCACTGCTGCCAGGGGGGCAGAGCTGGGCCCCCTTTACAATATCCTTAGGAGAGAAGGCTTGAGTTAGTGTGGCCAGCCTCAGGGAAGCCCAGTGTAGTGCTGAGGCTAGCAAAGGGTGAGTGAGTGGCCAGGTCCTAGGCTTTAACCACTCTAAGCAGTTGAAAATCTAACACCCTGACACCCACATCACAGGAAAACAATGGGGATGGCAGGTATGTGACAGAGCCATTCAAGCCCAGGGAGGTGTAAGGGCTTGCCGGGGGGGCTTTTCCTGTGTGGAGTGTGGAGTCATCCCTAGGACAGTTACCATTCAGCACAGAGACCGGCAACACAGGCCACAGCAAGGCAGCCCAACTGCTCAGTCTCTGCCTGCAGAGACTCCCTCTAGTCCCACACAACCTGGGAGAGAAGGTGGCAGCCTGTCCTGGTAGTGTGGGTGGAATGTCAGCAGAAGAAATACAAGATACGGTCACCAAGGTCCCAGAGACCAAAGGCAAACACTAAACTTGGAGGTCCTGAGCTCTGACTTCAGTCACCTGCCACTGGAACTGCCAGCAGTTCCTTCAGAGAGAGGACACAGTTCACTTGGGGTGCACAGAGGAGCAGCTGGGGTCTCTGTCAGCTGCTGGGCCTGGAGTTCAGGAAGAGACAGGCTGTAGAAAGGGCGGCAGGCCAGCTCTTTCCAGTCAGGTTCTGGGCAAACTTGGACAACCCTTTTCCAGCAGACCCTGAACAGCACGGCCCTAGACCCACAGCCTCTGGGACTATTGTGGCTTAGTCCTGCCTAGGGCAGTGCCTATTCAGTCAGATCTGGGGCACCCAGATGTCAGGCATGGCTTCCCTCAGCTCTGCTCCAGGCTGTCGTCAGTGGGCTGTACCACGGTGTAGCTGCCCTGGCTGGAGGAGAGCTGCCGGCTGAAGAAGGACGTGGTGCGCTTTGGTTTCACCCTCTTGATCCCCTTACCTGTGAAGGTGAGAGACACAGGCTGAGAAGAGGGGCTGGGTGGGGAGGCTGGGACAGCTTCTTCTATAGTTTGTTTGAACTGTGCCTTCCCCTCAGAGCTGTCATCATTCTGAGCCTGTCTCCACTCCTGATCCATCATCAGTGGCAGGACAGGGAACCATGGTCACCCTCACCAATCCCAGACAGGGATGACTCCAGACTGGCTTTGCCCAGTGATTTTCACTAAGTACAGGTGACAATGGGAAGCAAAACAGATGACAGAGGGCAGTGGCTATAGTCACGGTGTGATGACAATGGCACCTTGGTCTGCCTGCTCACATCCCTAAACCCATCAACTCATGAGGGAAAACATCCAATTCCAACAACAGGCCTTTTACAAAATACTCAGCTAGTATCCCCTCAAACATTCTGGCCAAACAAAGGCATGAGAACTACATGCAATGCAAGGCCAGGGTGTCTGAGAGCCATTTCAAGTTTTGGGTCAGCACAAGCAACAGTGAAGACAGTGTGTATTATACCAACATTAAAAAGAAATAAATGTTGGGGCTGGAGAGATGGCTCAGCGGGTAAGAGCTCTGGCTACTCTTCCAGAGGTCCTGAGTTCAATTCCCAGCAATCACATGGTGGCTCATAATCATTTGTAACTCTAGTTCCAAGGTATACGATACTCTTATTTTGTCTTCCTTAGTAAGTGTAAGTAGTACACAGACACACATGCAGACACTTACTGACATAAAATAATAAACTAAGCTGGATGGTGGTAGTGAACACCTTTAATTCCAGCACTCAGAAGACAGAGGCAAGCAGATCTCTACAAGTTCAAGGCCAGCCTGATCTACAGAGCATGTTCCAGGACAGCCAAAGCTACATAGAGAAATCTTGTCTCAAACAAACAAACAAAAAAATTCTATCAGGGTCTAGTATGAAGCCTTATCTCTTATTTGGCCTGGAACTAACTTTTGTTTTGACTCAGGCGTCCTGGGAAAATTCTCTATCGCTGAGCCACCTCCCCAGCTCAAGATACTTAAAGCTCTGAGATTATATGTACCACACCCGAGTAAAGTATGCTTTTTCAGATTATGAAAAATGACTTCAGCTGGATGTAACCCTCCCCAGCTCAAGATACTTAAAGCTCTGAGATTATATGTACCACACCCAAGTAAAATATGCTTTTTCAGATTATGAAAATGACTTCATCTGGATGTAATGGCACTTAACCTGTAATCTCAGCGCTTTGGAGATAGAGGCATGAGGATCCGGAATTCAAAGTTGTCAGTTATATATTCAAGTTTAAATCTAGTCTAGATTAGAAGGAAAATGTCCAAAACAAGCCAACAAATAAACAGGCAGGGAAGGTGGCTCCCACCTTTACTCCCACTAGTTGGGGGACAGAGGCAGGCGGGCGGTTCTCTTGAGCTCAAGGCAAGCCAGGTCTATACAGAGAGCTCAGAGATACACAGGGAAATCTTATCTAAAACAACAAACAAAAAACTGTTTGTATGTTGGGGAAATGGGGTTCATGCACCACAGGCATGTATGTGGAGGTCAAAGGACAACTTTGTAGAGTTTGCATTCTCCTTCCATCAGTGGGTTGGGTTCTGAGGCTGGAACTTATGTCTTTGGCCTTGGTGGCAAGTCTCCTTACCTGCTGAGCCACCTCACCAGTCCCTAGCCCCCAAAACACTTTTTATCTTGGAATAATTCTAGGTGTACACACTCACACCTATCATCAAAGATATTGGATGGAGCAGTCCTCCCTTGTAACCCTTCCCATTCTCAGGAGCCTTCTCATTTTTCCTTAATATATCTCAAAAAAAAAAAAAAAACTGAGATATTAGCAAGCTAGGAATGTAGCTCAGGGGCAAAGCACTTGCCTAAAATGACTGAAGCTCTAGGTTCGGTTCCCAGTACATTTAATAAAGACTCAAGTGTTGGCTGGGCGTTGGTTGCACATGCCTTTTTTTTTTTTTCCCCCGAGACAGGGTTTTTCTGTGTGGCTTTGGAGCCTATGCTGGCACTCGCTCTGGAGACCAGGCCGGCCTCGAACTCACAGAGATCCGCCTGCCTCTGC